CTCTCGCTCGCTCGCTCGCTCGCTGGCTGTACTTCGATTTGTGAATGCTAATCTGTGTGATCTGATTTCGGTGGTTCAACCATCACGAGCCTGCTCGTTTGGTTCACCGTATCATTCCTACCAAACTGTCCAGCTGCGCAGCCTAGAAGGACTGCATTCGAATAGAGCACACCCCCCCCGCGCTCAATTCGATATGAGCTCAGCAACCAAATGCAGCTACAGCAGCGGAAAGTACAGCGGAGAGCACGACAAAAAGCACAGCAATAGCAGAACACAGCGCAGTTGTTAACCACAGGACAACGCAGCAAATGGCACCGCTCTCCGTATACCGTAGCAGTTCACAGTCTGCGGCTCAGCCGCAACAGCAACCCCCAGTGTCTGACAACAGCACTGACTTTCACAGCAGTACCGGTCAAGAAGTGGGCGGCAACGCACTAGGAAGCAACCAGCAGGCACAAACTGCACCTGGAGTAAGGGCGGCAACGCCCTGGGAAGCGACCAGCAGGCACAAACCGCACCTGGAGTCAACGGTACAGCCAACAGTGGCACTCTACTGCTGCCAAAGGCATTCGGCAATACCCCTTGAATGCACAACAGCGCTCCCCAGCACAGCAAGGCGGTAACGCAGCAATCTCGGATCTGCAATCAACAGCAGCACTACCCATAGAATCAAGAAAAAACTCTCAACCTGTCAATCCTGGCTCTGTCTGAATTCGCTGAGCTTCCAAAGCTGTCCAATGTCACTCGTTTGGATTTGGACTTGTGGGCATGCGAACTGAACTAGGTTGTTGCCTGCCACGGATACCCGCATGACCACCAGCGGAAACCTCACCGACAGGTACAAGGGGCAGTGCAAAGAAGAGCTCTATGAGCGAAGAGGAAGACCCAGACCAGGACAACAGGCACTGTTCTACAATCATAAGCGACATGTGTGGCTAATGAGCCTCACTCCACTATTCACCAATAGTGTAAACTGAGAAATTCAATGAATATTCTGCTAGATCACGACCGGGTACGCCCCCTGCTGGATCCTTCATACGGACTGCATCCCGCGTCGTGATCCGCCTGGACCTTAGAGCACAACAATTACTAGATACAGCACGCAACGACCGTAACAGGACGCACTGAGACTTCGAGTA